TATTATCATTTTGGACACCATGTAGTGTGGTGTGGTATGATGATATTTCAAAACATTTATTTATTTATTTATCCGCTATCCCTTGATTTTGTACACCCTGTACACCCTGTATAGTGTGTCAAATGCTCATACAGATTTGTACACCCTGTATAGTGTGTTAAATTCTCCCTTGATTTACACCCTGTATAGTGTGTTAGATGCTCCTTTGATTTTATACATCCTGTATAGTGTGTTAGATGCTCCCTTGATTTACACCCTGTATAGTGTGTTAGATGCTCCCTTGATTTGCACACTCTGTATAGTGTGTTAGATGCTCCTTTGATTTTATACACCCTGTATAGTGTGGTAAATGCTCCCTTGATTTACACCCTGTATAGTTTGTTATATGCTCCCTTGATTTGCACACCCTGTATAGTGTCTTAAATGCTCCTTTGATTTTATACACCCTGTAAAGTGTGTTAGATGCTCCCTTGATTTACACCCTGTATAGTGTGTTTAATGCTCATACAGATTTGGGCGTTTCTTGGTTTATTCATTTACCTGAAGACCTCTACAGTCTCCACCCAGCATTTACTTATCATCTTGCTAATCAACTAATCATTGGCTTTAAACCAATTAAATCATTTCACGCAGGAATAAAGTTCATTTAGTTTTAGATAATTATCTTCCACGCGTTAAATACACAGAACGTTTTTTTTAAAGGGAGTGTTCGCGAAAAATGAAAGGGGGTATAGGCTTAATGCGATAAAAAAGCGCTTTTGATCGCTATTAATTTTACTTTTATCTGTTGCGTCTATAAGGAGAAAATTGTTGAAGACGTCTCATAACGAATAACTTAGCGCCTATACAAATTCAGAAAATTGCAACATACAACTTAGACCGTAAAAAATCAATTTATTTTTTTAGAAAACGTTTCAACGGATTTCGAAAAATGTGAGTGGTGCGCGGCATTCTTAGATAGTTGCGCAAGCGACATGAGAAATAATCAAATTCAAAACAAATTAATTAAAAAATATTATAAGATATAAACTATGTACAAATGTGGCGAAAGATAATCGATGACTATAGGTTGTAATATCTGAATGATTTGTTTGAAATTAAATTGATTTTTACGGTCTATGTCATATGTTGCAATTTTCTGAATTTGTATGGGCGCTAAGTTATTCGTTATGAGACGTCTTTAACAATTTTCTTCTTATACACGCAACAGATAGAAGTAAGATTATTAGCGAGCAAAAGCGCTTTTTTATCGCATTAAGCCTATACCCCCTTTTATTTTTCGCGAACACTCCCTTTAAATTTAAAATTCATGTCTCACACATTTAGAAAACCCCTATTTGTTGATAATATCAAACAGTCTAAGGCATCCCAAAAATTGTGAACAGAATGGTCAAAATTACGAACATGAAGTTCAAAATTGTGAACATAATGTTTACATTGTGAACATAATGTTAACATTGTGAACATAATGTTAAAATTATGATCAGAATATTAATAATTGTGAAAATAATGTTAAAATTGTGAACAAAATGTTCAAAATTTTAAACATAATTTTAAAATTGTGAACAGAATGTTCAAAATGTTTAACATAATGTTAACATTGTGAACATGATGTTAAAATTGTGAACAAAATGTTCAAAATTTTAAACATAGTTTTAAAATTGTGATCAAAATGTTCAAAATGTTTAACATAATGTTAACATTGTGAACATGATGTTAAAATTGTGGACAGAATGTTAAAATTGTAAACGGAATTTTCAAAATTTTAAACATAATATTAAAATTCTGAATAGAATGTTCCAAATTGTGAACATAATGTTAAAATTGTTGGTAAAATGTTCAAAATTGTGAACATAATGTAAAAAATTATGAACAGAATGTTCAAAATTTTGAACATAATGTTAAAACTATTAACAGAATGTTCAAAATTGTGAACAGAATCATCAAAATTACGAACAAAAATTTTAACTTAATGTTCAAAATTTTTAACATAATGTTAAAATTGTAAACAGAATGGTCAAAATTACAAACATAATGTTCAAAATTGTGAAAAGAATCATCAAAATTACGAACATGATGTTCAAAATTTTTGACATAATGTTAAAATTGTGAACAGAATGTCAAAATTACGAAAATAATGTTCAAAATTGTGAACAGAATCATCAAAATTACAAACATAATGATCAAAAATTGCGACCAAATTCCAATGTTCCAAATTGTGAACAGAATGATCAAAATTACGAATATAATTTTCAAAATTGTGACCAGAATATTGGGAATAATGTTGATAATAGTTTCAAATACAATTTTACTAATAATTTGTTGTGATTAAATTTTGGGTTAGCATTTATCCATGATAGTTTTTTTTCTACTGACGTGTTTTCTTCATTAGAGGTAACTACTGTAGATCGGAACTACTGTAGATCGGAACTACTGTAGATCGGAACTACTGTAGATCGGAACGTAATTTATAGTGAAACTCCATTTGGATAGAGGCATGTGGGATTCTCAACGCGTCCCCTGTAGACTTCTGAGTGACAAAGGTATTGTTGTTTTTCTAGTACAGGGTGTCCCACGAAACAGTTGGTAAATAATTTGGAATATCTTTTGCCCAATACTGTAATAAATATCAAAGACTTTTTGCATTTTTTTTCGTTCAATAATTTTTTTTTACTAAATACATTTTACTTTGAAATCAATTTTACTATAATATGAAATAGCATTAAATATTCTTATAATTCTCTTAAGTAATTATGGAAGGAGACATTTTAAATTATTCAACAACTGTCATGTTTCGTGAGCCACCATGTACGTAACCAGACTTCTTTGAAAATTTGCATTTATTTTTAAGACTGGGTCGACTGTAAAGTGTGCTTTTACTTTACTAACCCAGCCGTACTTTTTTCGTAGCCCTAAACATGATCACTTCGGAACTAAACAGCAATTCTTATAAGCTTAAGTTTTCTAGAAGTAAGAAGAAAGAAGTCCTACTGATTTTTGCGTGAGAGCTTGCAAAAAAAAGGTACCGTTGTGAATCGGACATGCCATTCTGTAAATGAAGGGTTAATTGAAATCATTTCAAATTTTATGTTTCAGTTTTGTTTTCGTTGAATATGATGATGATTAACTTTCAAGTTCCAGTAAATCTGTAAACAAAAAGTTTAAACTTTAAAAGTTGTTATGAATTATAATTCTGAATTTGCATTTTCTCTTTTGATAAGTTAAAGGAAGTAGGTTTGTGAGGTATTAAAGTGCAATGTTTGGTTTTTGCAGAGCATATGTTCATCATTTAGCAAATAGTGGTTGCATATACTTTAATATACTCCAGGGCAAATGTTAAATATCGCATGATCATTCAATTTTTCTTCAAAGGGACTCTACAGGTGAAATTTCAAAAGAACTATCTTTTATAAAGTTTAATTTTTTATTCACAATACCCATTAACCCTTCTGATCCAGAATGAATGAGACGTCCTTGTTTTTCTTGTTGAATATTGGTACGTTTTAATTGTTGATTTTCCGAAGAACTGGAAATACGACGATATCTTCCTGTTGCTCCCCGGAAAGAGAATATCGTTGTGTATATCAAACAAAAATGTATTTTTTTTGTAAAGTCTAGACTCCAGGCCAAAAAAATGAAAAAATGACCCATTTTTATTTGATAATTTCTTTAGGTCCCATCCTCCCCTAAAATGTATAGGTTTTGTTTATAAAGGCTAAAGCTCTGTGATAAATGAAACGTTATGAAAAATTAAAAATGTCAAGCTGATGATACAAATTATGAAAAACAACCCTGAAATGACATCAGTTGAAATTGGATCATCATTTTTACGCACTACAGCACTCTCAGCGGCATTTTCTACTCCTCGCCGCGCAGCAGACATATTGGATTTTTATAATAGACTAATAAATTAAAATAGAAATGGTCGAGAACCATAAAGTGGGAAAAGATACAAAAATATCTATATAATCAAAAATATAGATTAAAAATTCTTTTCTTATTTATAATTTTTGTAAAGAGCTTGAATAACGTAACCATGTATCATCATAATAAATTCATATTTCTTGAGTTATGTTACTTTTAGAATTACAAAATAGGTTCATCATTTTTAGCAACAATATCTGCAAGGATCAGTAAAGAGGGAGGATTACCCTACCCCCCCCCCCCCTCCACTGTTTCACATGTACCCCAAAAATATATATTTAGTTAGAATTATAAAATTATTTCTAAAGGTAGTTTAAGACTCCAACCCCTGGACCCTACCCCTTCCCGAAACCATATCGTGCGCCTTCAAGTCATATCAGTGTTGATAAAGAAGAAAAATTAAACAATCAAAATAATTTAATTTTTTTTTGATAAATAAAAAAAATCAATCAGGAAAAAGTAGTGATATTACTTTTAAACAATTTCTGAATTATCATGTTTTATCTTAACTATAACACTTGTTGCGCCCATAAGCTATAAAATTTTCCATTAATAACATAATAAATTAAATAAAATTATTTGATTTTTAATATAAATGAAATGAAATCGATAGGAAACAAGAAGTAATAATATTTTAAACAATATCTGTAATCTGTGTTTTCATTTTTATCTTAAATATAGTTTTGCCAGTTTCTAAAATCCCTTGTTGCGCTATAAACCATATCATTTTTCGTTTTAAGTTACAATGAAATACAATTTTTATATGAATGAAATGAAAACCAATCTGAAAAGAAGTAATAATAACATAAAACATTTTACTGTATTATTAAGTTAATTTCAATTGTATAAAGCATGGGAGAGGACACTAGAATCAGTATATGAAAATTTTGGAAAATTATCAAAGCTATCCTATTTTTTAAATATATTTTAAAGGGAACAAAAAAATATATATATTTTTAATAATAGTCTTTTTACAAAGCTGCGTTCAAATAAGATGATCAAATCTCCGAAATTTACTGCGTACAGCGCGCGAATACGCATTACGCTTGATTCTGTTCAGTTTTGTTTCAGCTGCAAGAGTGAGCGTAAGCAGTCGTACGCACGCACATTGTGCGTAAAGTTACCAAGTGAGTTAGAAAATGTAGTGAAATTGTGATTAAAATAAAAACAACTCTTTCTTGGCAACTAATAAAGTAAGTTTAAATTACGTATTCGCCATCTTTAAAGAATTAAAAAGCGAAATTTGTCACTTTCTTCATATTTTCCAAGATAAATAGATAGCACAACCTATCTTTTTTTTTCATTAAATCGAACACGCGGAAAACATTTTGAAATTGCAAATTTTGATTTACAATTTTTTTTGTATTTTGAAATAGTTGAAAAAAAGGTAATATGTATTACGTATATTTCTATTATGTACAATTACCAAATTTATATTTATATTTTTTTAAGAAAAATATAAAATGGTAAATAAAATTCAAGACATGATTTATCATTAAACATTTATAAAAATGGTTATTTGGGGGGGGGGGGGTTAGTTCTTTATATAAAACAAAAGATACAAATAACCAAGCTTTCAAAAAAACCCCATTTTTTATTTCAAAACTTTATTGTCAACCCTTGAAAGTATGCCCCCTCCCTCTTACCATTCATTTTCTCCATATGCTTGAAATTTTTTTTTTTTTTAAGTTTGGAACTAATAAAATAAGAGATTAGAATATTAGAGTTTGTGGCTAGAACTCAGTTCTGTAGAGGAACCTTTAGTTCTGTAGAGGAACCTTCAGTTCTGTAGAGGAACCTTCAGTTCTGAAGAGGAACCTTCAGTTCTGTAGAGGAACCTTCAGTTCTGTAAAGGAACCTTCAGTTCTGTAGAGGAACCTTCAGTTCTGTAGAGGAACCTTCAGTACCTTCAGTTCTGTAGAGGAACCTTCAGTTCTGTAAAGGAACCTTCAGTTCTGTAGAGGAACCTTCAGTTCTGTAGAGGAACCTTCAGTTCTGTAGAAGAACCTTCTGTAGAAGAACCTTCAGTTCTGGAGAGGAACCTTCAGCAAAATAACTTTTACTGTGCAACAAAAAGATTTCTCTTTTTTTATCTCTCGGATGGTAGTATCTTTGAGTATTATTTTGGTGAAAATTTTCTCTTTTGTACACTAAAAAGGGCCCCCCCCCCCCCTCCCACTCCCTTCCAATATTTTTTGTCATGTTAATATTTTTTTCAAAGCCGTGAAGTTAAGCTTCTTTAATTCGAAGAAAAAGAATTTGAGAAATTGCGAAAGTGTTTATTGGATATAGATAGAAAGTATATTTTTAATATTATAATGGGACCTTTATTACTTTACTAGCTTTGGATCCCAGCGTTGCCCAGGGGAGTCATAGTTAGTCGTAAAATTACAATCTTAGCTACTTTTCCCGATAAAAGTGAACCCACTCAATTTAGAATCTCAAAAACCAAGATAAGAACATTCCAGTGACTCTCCCCAATCGAAATTTGAGGCAAATCGGCCCAGAGGTTTCCGAGTTATGATCGGACAAACAAACAGACAAACAGATATTACAACTTTATATATATATACTATCTTGGGAATCCAGCTTTGCCTAGAGTTTTCCCTATACAAGTCAACCCAACCCTTGGTTCTACAGAGTTTCTCAATCAACATTTGAAGCAAATCGGTCCAGGAGTTCGCGAGTGATGAGCAGACATCCAAACACACTCGCAAACAGAGATTACTTCTTAATATATATATATATATATATATATATATATATATATATACAAAGATATCGTTTGCTGAATTTTGTTCCTCCTTTATATTTCTTGCAGCCCAATAGTTCTTCATTTTAAGCAATACTACCTGTTTGAGAACTAGAAAACTTTGGAAAAGTAAGGACGACTTTTTCACCTTAAATAGTCCAATGACTATGAGACACAGTAAACTAGTAAAAATATTTGCTTTGTACCAACATAAAATACAATTTTGTGGTATTGTTTTAATGTCGTCTTTCTAATCCACCGTTTTCTAAATGGTTCTCACTGTAAAAAAATATCCAAATACCAACCTATTTTTTACTTAAAAACTTAACATTTTGTTAAAAATTACTAAAACCAATTCTACTAACTAAATTCTATTCGATCAGAATTGAAACAAATGGGGATTCAGATTTTTTTTAGCGTAACAATCAACGAGGTTACAGTGTATAGAGTGATGGTGTACGCTAATCAACGAGGTTACAGTGTATAGAGTGATGGTGTACGCTAATCCTTTACTAATTGTACAGACCATTTACTCCACTTTCAAAAGTTACAGTACTCGGGGGTGATTTCTGAAAATATTTAAATGGAGATTTGTTTTCCTTGTAACTATTAAAATCCAATACTTCTTTATCGTGTGCAGGATTACATTTTTACATGAAGACGTACCATTACAGTCTTTTAGACAGCAATATTTCATCGTTAAGAAACTGTTCTGAGAAATTGAGTAAAATTAAAGATATACAACCTCCCATACACTTGTGCTCCGAAAGTGTACTGCATATTTGATGTCTGTACAGTATGAATAGGCCATAATCTCTTAATATCCTTTATCAGTAAACTATCCCAAGTGTACACTCAGGCTAATACAAACGGAGAGGTAGCTACCCCCTGGGCTTTCCAATAAAAGAGCTGCTTAGAATGCCCGATTCACAACTGTGCCTTTTAAATCAATTTATTTGAGCATTAATGAGTGAGATGTCGTCTTTTCCTTTAAAAAGATGAGGGAGATGTCGTCTTTTCCTACGCACAAATGTTAATTTCTGTGAGTTTCCCTTTTTTATCTTTACTGCATAAATTCACTATTTTTTTTATAAAAAATCGCCATTCAGCTATTCATAGAAAATCTAGGATATATCAGGAAATGAAAATGATCCAACGTGTCCGGATCCAGCAGGCACGATTAAAGGTTTAAAGGGTACAATTCTTTTACTTTATAATTAAAATTAAAATTACGTACACTGTCCCATTAAAATGATGATTTAGTTTAATTATGAAGATAAACAATTATAATTAATTAGGAAAAAAAGTAAAAAAGCTGAATAAAGTAAAATAAAAGTAAAATATTGCTTGTATTCAAATTTTGCAAAGACTATAAACCATGATATTTAGATTGACATTGTGTGCACGCATTCAAGCGTAGATATACGCGCACGCACCTCTGCACCCCCCCATCCCCTCCATGCACCATACCCCCTTCTAGCACCAATACCATCATACACCTCCCCCCCGTCCCTCCTTAGCTCCTAACACCATAACCGAAATTAACGAATTTTGATTGCTGAAATATATCTTATTTGTTGAATAATTATGATCTTAAACAATAAGAATATTAACGGTGATTCTTCCCCTCTAACCCCGCCCCTCCCCCCCCTCCATCAAAGTGCACCTAGTTAATACTACTTAACTACAAAGAGTGATTAGGCTAATAAACATTTGTGAGCCCAAATTAAAGATTCTTTTTCACTTAATAACTTACATTGTAATTTTTAGTTAAGCAAGCATTTCTAGATTTTAAAAAATCGGTAATTTTAAGTTTTGTTGAATCCGCCAAAATTAGCAAAATAAAAACAAATCCCCGTAAAGTAAACCTTAACTCCAGGGCTCTAGGTTGAAATAAACCCTATTTCAAGAATTGAATTGATTGCGGAATTTCCAGGACCTGTCAACATTTTTTAAGAAGGTATATTATACCCGTGGTGTCCCGTGTCCGGTATCTAGGCCTTGAAAAAATGCAATTCGGTGAAATGCCTGGTGCAATTTCTTATACAGGTATACAGGTCCATAACTTTGGGGTTAAGTTTCACTTTTGCAAAGACAGATGGGGGGGGGCAAAGATAGGGGGAGGGGGCAATACATGATTAAAAAAATTGATGATATAAAAAGACTAGTTATGTTTGTGTATGTAAATCGATATAAATAAATCAAGAGCAAAGAACAAAGAAACAAAAATGATGGAAAAGGAATTGAGTCTTTGTAACAAAATCAAATATTTAAACCACAATATCTTTAGAACCCGATGTTGTAAACCTTTGATATTTCAAACTCTGATTATTTGATTTAACAGAATTCATAGTTTGAAATATCAAAGGTCTACAACATTTGGTTCCAAAGATATAGTGATTAGAAAATCAGAGTTTGTGACAAAGACTCATTTCCCTTGTATTCCATAAGATTGCCATGAAATTTCAATATGTTACTGCATTTGAAATTTCGAAATTTTAACAACTAAATTGTGACTTTATAGTGCTTAAAAATTGCCTTTTGATATTTTTTTCTGATTTTATATTTATTAAATATCGATTTAATTTCGAAATAAAAAATGTATAAACAAATTGGGATTTTCTCGAGAACAATAAAACAAAAAGCTCAAATTTTTATCATGGTTAAAACGATTGCATGTCTCATTCTTAGACATTTTATTAGATTATCAACATGAAGAATTGATACTGAATCAAATTTCAGGACGCAATTCTTTAAATTTCCCCCCGAAATATATAATTTAACCCTAGGCTGGCCTAATCTAATAAAATTAATTTTTAATTCCCACCCAGTCCTATAATTGATAATTTATCATTTTTATCAATGCTAAGTGTTTATTTTTTCTATCTTTCCTTACTTCTATTTAATTGGTTTTTCTATTTGTTAATGTCCAAAATATTCGAAACGGCTAAACCGATCAGGCCCAAGTCAATGACTCCCCCCCCCCGGAAAAAAATCGACGAAAATCATCTGAATACAGAAATCCATGAAAACAAAAAATCTGCTAAGTTTCTTAGCTGTATGATTGACGAAAAAAGATAGAAAGCAATATTTAACTGGAGCCCGACCCGCGGCATAGTTCCTTATATATATCCATCTATCTATTTTCTTTCTAATTATCTATCTGAACATTATCCGTCTATCTATTTTCTTTCTAATTATCTATCTAAACATTATCCACATAATTAATTTTCTAATTATCTTTCTAAACATTAACCGTCTATCTATTTTCTTAGTAATTATCTATCTAAACATTATCCGTCTATCTATTTTCTTTCTAATTATCTATCTGAACATTATCCGTCTATCTATTTTCTTTCTAATTATCTATCTGAACATTATCCGTCTATCTATTTTCTTTCTAATTATCTATCTGAACATTATCCGTCTATCTATTTTCTT